ATACAGCAGCGGCTGCCAACAGTAGCAACAGCAGCTAGCGGCAGCCACAGTCCGCAGTAACAACCTGCGCACTGTATGCAGCGGCGGTCCGCGCACAACCCTCAGTCTATAGTCCACAGTCTTCAGTCCGCAGTCCACAGCCTTCCGAACACAACCGTAGCACAAGGCGGCGGTCAGCAGCAACAGTGATTGCAGCCAGCCACAGCAGCCTGTCCGCAGTCTATGGACACAGCAACCATACACCACGGTGGTCAACAGCACCAGCAACAGTCTGTGCCCAGACCCCTCGTCGCTTACACTGGCGGAATGGACAACTCCCCATCCAAATAAGTGCATATGCCGCCTTGCGGTTTCTCTACCCGGCGGCAAGCAACGTATCGACCGGTACGTAAGTCTGTATTTTACTGTCTGCCTGCAACTGCCTCGCTTGGTGAGGTAGGCAGTGCATCAGCCAGCGGGTAAGTCTCCAATCGAGTGTTGGCCTCATGTTACTTCCACCGATGAGCTGGGCTGTGCACTGACAACCAGGTAAGCCTCCACCTCGGGCAACTGCCTCCACACTCCCTCCTCCAATAGGATGGGCAAAGTCGAAGGAGTGTTCTGCTAGGACATGTGAAGGTACATGCCCACCGAACTGTCCTGCTACTGCACTCGTTTCCCTGCCCTTCTACTTCGATGCACCTAGCGACGACCTTTGGCTAGGTGCACGCAAGCTTCAACAAGTGAGAGCAACTACTGCTGCGGGCGGAGTTCGGCTTACCCCGGCCCAATCAGCAAGACGGGGGGAAACGCACTAAATAAAATAACTCTAAAAATAAGATAAAATCCGAATGGGCTCCCCCGTCAGATTATGGAAGTATACACCGAACTCCAGCTGCGCCTGCGAAGGGGGTAGGGAGTAGCTACTTTCTTCGATGGGATGACCGGTATCGTGTAAGTCTCCGGGTAAGACGTGGGGCAGTACTCTGCCTTCCCGCCACTCACACCGAAGGACGGAAAGGCCAATTCCCATCGATGGGACTAAAACAAGATCGTAATGAATGCCCCGCTAGAATGTGGGAAAGTACGCCTCCACTGCAAAGCCTTTCCCTCCTGCGCGCAGCTCTCAATGTCCATACCGCTTAATCCACGCACTAACTCTCGAATCCGGCTTTGCCATCGGATTCGCCCATCCCCAGACCCCTAGCTTAGCACTTCCCCTCGCTTGACTTCATCGACTATCAGACTAAATCACACTAGTTCCCCCCCTTCTCCCCTCTTCGCCATCTCCACGCACTCCATTCCTCTTACTAGTTCTACTCACACTCCTCCCACCACGAAACTAACTCTGCCAATCGAATCATAGTGCCTAAAAAACCCCAAAACGGATCCTTACTCGCCCGTTTTCGTAAAGAAACGAGCGACTTACACAACTTTCACTCCTGCCACAGTCACTTCCGCCATCTCTCCGGGCACACGTTTCTCTACTAATCTCCCTTCCTACTAACTCTTTACTAATCCCGACCTCAGGTATGGCATCGCCCGCCCTTAAAACCCTGTCCTACCCTCTCCCTCGATCTAAATCCATAGAGGTTCAAGCTAGCTGCTCGATCTACCCTCCGCCATCACCTACCTCTACTTCTGAATGAACCTGGCCCACTCCCACGCCCTGATTCACCCCCCCCTTAGCACTTTGCTCCGCTTGCTGCTACCCGTCGCCCCCTCACTGCTCCCTGGCGCCGCCCAGCTTTGTCCGTCACTCCCCTGATGCCCCATATGCACCTCGCGCGAATCCTCGCCGGGTTCATTCCGTCGTTTTCACCCCATGGTCGCCCGACTTTCACTCACCGCTGCTATCGTAGCGCCCGACCTTGTCTACTCAACAGTCCCTGCCGCTCCGCTCTACTTCTACTCGTTTGCCTTCTTCTCTGTGGCGTTTTGCCCTCTAGTGTCTCGCTACCTGTCTCCCATACCTGTCTCCCATAGTCGGACCTTCTCCGTTTTCACTTTCGAACGCACCCGGCACCGACGCCTGTGCTGGTTCACCCCTCTTCCTTGGCCCCTGCTCCGCCTGATGCTAGCTTTGGCTGCCACCTCTATCTCCTCCAAGCTACCTCGCCCCTTCTGCTACGCTAGGCTGCTGTAACAACGTTTCCGCGTGGCTTGTGCAGGGAGGACTGGCCGACTCGGCGTTGCCCTTTGGTTTATACTCCCGTTCGGTGCCGGACTGCCCCTCCCATTGGGCCCTCGGTGCCCACAATCCCGCATAGTAGTTGCTGACTGGGTTTGTAGGGACCGGGACTGGGCACCGCTGGCGCAACATAAGCCAACTTTGCCACTGGCCCACTGGCATTGGTCCGGCTGTGGGCGGCCTCCGACAGGCCACTTCCAGATAAGCGTGGACTCCGTCTTTCAGCATTGCAGCAGCTACGACCTCGTTCTTCCAGGACTGCAGCATCTACGCCTTTGACCTTTTGAGGACCATAGCAGCTACGACCCGCGGCTCAGGTCGCAGGTCCAACACCCGGGGACACTGTACCTCGATAAAATAAAGCCCAGGGATCGCCCCGAGGCCTACTATGCCAGGAGTTCGGATCCGTGGCCAGCCCCTGACCTGATAAGAATATTATCTATAAGGCAATAAATAGGCAAGACAAAAATAGTAGAAAAAAATCAATGCGGTTGGGGAGAAAAAGCATGACCCATCGGCATTCCCCCGGTCCTGCCCAGTGGACCCGCCACCAGACTTCCTTAACAAAACTAGGGGGATTGTCCCGCAGGACCCTCAACCCCTTAGCCCTTCAATGCTCCACACTCCTATGCCGCCGTCCGCTGGCCTCGATCCCCGTATCTCCGCCGTGTAAGTCCGGTACCATAACCTATAGGGCTAAGCCCAATCCTGGTACTCAAGAATGCCTCAGCCATATTTCTATCTGCAATCAGCCCGCCACCACTAGGCGTCCCCGCCGGCTAGCACCCACTATGCCTTGGGCCACAACACACGCCGAACCTACTGCCAGCCATGGGCGGCAACACAACGGCCAAACCTTCTAATTCTTTAAATCACTCAGCAATCAAACCCAAACCGGACGTCTATGCCTGCGTCATAATCAAGAAGGGGAAAAATCACACGCACGCCTTAAGATTGCGCGCCCACTCACGCTCTATCCTAATCAACCATCCTCTTAGTGTAACCCAACCGACTTAGCCGCGACCCGCGCGACACACTTAGACTTTTATACTTACTTCCTGTCACTTGCAAAAACTAGGGCGGATACCCTTGTCAGGGTATTCGCACCGACACCGGCCTCCCCCAGGCCTGTCTCCCTGGCCTGCTCCCAGCCTGTGTCCCTGACCTGACCCTCAGGTTGCTTTTACTCCACACTCGTCTACCCTCATCCCTCCAACAGCCCCTGGACCTGGACCAGATTTAGGCCCACGATACAACCCCTGGGATTGTGTATCACAGACCTTGTGTTCCGAACCTTTGTCGAGCCTGTCTCCCTGATCTGGGCCTGACAGGTAGACAGACTCACAGCCTGCCTGCCTGCCTGTTTGTGGACCACGGTCGGGTCAACGTCCATACAACCCCACACCTAGACCCAGGTCCTGCTTTCGTGCATCAACAGGTCCAACCACAGGTCCAAGCCCAAGTCCGACCCTAGGTAAACCTGAAAACAGGGTCGGGCATAGACCCAAGTCAATGGTGGTGCAGGCACAAACCAACGTTAGATCAACATGTGGGATTGGGGATGCGCTAGAACTTGGACCTCCGCTTTGAAAGGGAAAACAAAAAACAACAACAATAAGTGTCAAAGCCTGCACTTGGGCCCAACCAACATCTTAAACCTGGGTCTGGACCCCCCACCCAGGATCCAGACCTAGTCTGGGCCTTTTCACAGCTCCAGACTCAAGTGTCTATCTGCCTGCCTGCGTGTCTCTCTCTATGCGTGCCAGTCAACGTGTGGGACCGGACGTGGGCTGGAGCTTGGATCTGGGCTTTGAAAGCAAAATAATAATAATAATAATAACTAGCTAAGCGCCTGCGGTGCGGGCGGTGCGGGCCACGCCCGCAGAAATAAGAGTAACTGGCTACAAAGTCCAACTTTAATTCACGAATCAAAAAAATAAAAAATAGAAGAAAAAAAATGTAAGAGAAAGGGCGAGGAGAGATAGAGACAGACAAAGAAAGAAAGAAAGAAAAAAAGCTAGAGATAAATAGATAGATAGATAGAGAGAGAGATAGAGATAGAGATAGAGATAGATAGATAGATAAATAGATAGATAGATAGATAGATAGATAGATAGATAGATAGATAGATAGAGAGAGAGAGAGAGAGAGAGAGAGAGAGAGAGAGAGAGA